TCTGCAGTCCTAATGTATTGGTTATCGACGGTCTCGTTTTGTTGACTGTGCTGACTCATTACGTATAATCTGCCTTGAGCCCCCATGAGAAAGGTGGACTACATGTTATGTAAGTACACAAAAATAATCCACAGAACCTTGCACTACAACCAATGCTCCCTCTGAGCTGAGCTGAGTCTTGTGAACAAAAATTCTGTTTTGTGAGCGACTGGCATCAAAGCTGTGAACGAGGGATTTGGCCGCTGCATGACTTACTTCGCTCTGGTTGCTAGGTCTCCACCAGTGGAGGGGGCAGGGCTGCCAGATCCAGGCTGGGAAACAGGGGTGGAGCCTGGGGAGGGGAGGGACCTCAGTGGGGGAGAATGGCCTAGAGCTCACCCTCCACTTTGGTGTCGTGGTTAAGTGCGCGGACTCTAATCTGGGAGAACCGGGTTCGATTCCCCACTCCTCCACTTGCACCTGGCTGGATGACCTTGGGCAAACCACAGTTCTGTCAGAGCTGTTCTCTCAAGGGCGGTTCTGGAAAGAGCTCTCTCACCCCCCCTACCTCACAGGATGTCTGTGGTGGGGAAGGGAAAGGAGACTGTAAGCCACTCTGAGACTCCACGTGAAGGGTGGGGTATAAATCCAATCTCTTCTTCTTCTTCTTCGCATCCATTTGCTCCAGGGGAACTGATCTCTGTGGTGTGGCGATCACTTGTAATTTTGGGGGAACCCCAGGTCCACCTGGACCCTGGCATCACTACTTACCATCCAGTTGGTAGATACACACACACACACACACACACACACACGTGTGTGTACGTGTGCTCAAGCCTACAAGGAATAGAAGATGGCAAAAAAATAAGAACATAAGAGACGCCAATGTTGGATCAGGCCAAAGGCCCATCCAGTCCAACACTCTGTGTCACACAGTGGCCAGAAATACCAGGTGCCATCAGGAGGTCCACCAGTGGGGCCAGGACATTAGAAGTCCTCCCACTGTTGACTCCCCCCAAGCACCAAGAAGACAGAGCATCACTTGCTCCTGAGTCCCTATCTATACCTTGTGGCTAATAGCCACTGATGGACCTCTGCTCCATATGCTTATCTAATTCCCTCTTGAAGCGGCCAAAACGCTCGCTCACCACTTTAATGCCGGTAGCTTGCAAAGTAGAATTTTTGCTCACAAGACATTGGTCGGAGGCCACTGTTATAAAGGGACCAATGATGACAATGCACACAATTCTTCCTCCCTTGCATGAAGTGGCTCTTTGTGCTCCTCTCACAAGAGACCTGAAGTGCACCACAATGTATTCCTCTTCTACACACATGCAATGTGCTAAGCAATTATTTATAAACAGCTATAAAAGGCCAGAGAGCAATATAGGCCTCTTGGGAAGGCATTTCACGACTGGGCATATAAAACAAAGGGCCACCCCGTTGGTGTTTTACAACGTACATAACATAGGGATGGGGCTATCAGTGAATCATACGGTTTTCTCCCTTTAATGGTCCAGCAGCTGGGGATGATTGGCGTCGCCCTGGACAGATCAATGAACACTTTAACCGAGAGCTTGTTCCTCTCTAATGCAACGGCCATAATTCTATTCCGTTCTATTAGCGTTCTCTGGACGATGCGCCCTGCCCAAGCACTCATTTGCCACTGGGACACCGTCCAATGTTTACTTCCATTAGTTTGGGCCACTGTTGGTAACCATACCAAGAAAAAAAACACGGGAAAAAAAGAACAGGAGACAGTAGCAAATGAACAATTTATGGGTTAGAATGAAATGCAGGGCGATCTCGGCTGCCTTCCAACCACTGGGAAAATGACTGGTCGTTAGAAATAAATTAAAGGTATTGAAGAAAAGATAACAAATGTTGCCGGCGGGAACAGCTCTCCCATTAGAACAAAGACACCGTTCCGCAGATTGCCTGTGCTGCTGAAAGGGAACAGGGATTCTTCAACTTTCAGGGATTATGGTTTGGAGAGCAGATTTGGTGTAGTGGTTAAGTGTGCGGACTCTAATCTGGGAGAACGGGGTTTGATCCCCCACTCCTCCACTTGCACCTGCTGATGTGACCTTGGGTCAGTCACAAGCTCTGGCACAGCTGTCCTTGAAAAAGAGCAGTTTGTGTCAGAGTTCTCTCAGCCCCACCCACCTCACAGGGTGTCTGTTGTGGGGAGGGGAAGGGAAAGGAGTTTGTAAGCCACTCTGAAACTCCAAGTGAAGGGCGGGGTATAAATCTAATCTCCTCTTCTTCTTCTTCAGATTAAAGCTACAAAATTAGCCAGATTGACTGTTGTGGGTGGATGCACACTGCATAATACTATTAATCACTGTTGCAGTGTGGCAGATCAAAACTCTTCCGTCACTTTATCGTGCCTTTCCCTCCATCTCCGTATGACTTGATACTTCTGTTACAGAGACACTAAAGTGGGGGTGTCGAACTCATTTGTTATGGAGGCTGGATCTGACATAAATGAGACCTTGTCGGGCCGGGCCTAATAATCTAAGACCCTGTGCCCAACACCACCACCCAGCCGGAGCCTGCCGGCATAAAAATCATTTGCCGACTGTAATCTATATGTTTACTGCTACTATCCCACCGCCATCGTCATATGAATCGTTCCAGTAATTGTGTTGTGTTTTATGAGGATATTTATGTCGATGTTTTTATCTGTTATTGATTTGATGCACGTTTTTTTTTAAAGCCGCTCTGAGCCTGCTTAGGCGGAGAGGGGAGGGCACAAAAAAAATCAATCAATAAAATAAACAAACCCTGGACTTCCTTGGGGGTCTCCCATCCAAGTACTAACCAGGGCTGACCAAGGCTTCCTTCCTGAAAACCTGATAAGATCGAGCTAGTCTGGCGCATCCAAGTCGGGGCAAAAAGACGGAGGTGGTTTGCCATTGCTTGCCTCTGCCCTGGACCGCCTCTGGACTCCCTTGGGGGTCTCCCTTCCAAGCACTAACCAGGGCTGACCTCGCATAGCTTCTGGGATCTGACGAGATTGGGCTAGCCCGCGGTATCCAGGTCAGGGCCCAGACGCTAATCTAACATTGGGGAAATCTGTAATCTTGCAAGGATCTTGCTATATTTTTAAACAAATCCAGGGATGCTTCAGGAAGAGATCAAAAGAAAAAAGGAACTTCTGCTGTGCGCAGGGGTCATTTCCTGCAGGAGCGCACAGGAGCCCAGGGGGTGGTCCCATGCAACAAGCCCCACCCCCTGCTCCCAGCAGCCCTCAGTCAGAGCAAGAAGCAGCCAGGTAAGTTTCAGAGCCCACTCCGCCCCCCCAGTCCAAAACAGTCCAGTGGCACCTTTAAGACTGAGTTTTATTCAGGTACAAGCTCTCCCTCCTCTGTGAGGACAGATCTGCACATTCCTCCCCCCCTCCCAATAGCTAGCAATCCAAAACAGTCCAGTGGAGCCTGAGCGGTGGGTGTTGCCTTCTGACACACTTCCGGTGATGTCAGGGGGTGTGGCATAGGCAAATAACTTATGCTAATGAGTTATGCTAATGAGCTCCTGCACCTCTTTTTCTACGAGATGACCCCTGCTGACAACACCAGGCTAGCTTGGGCCATCCCGGGCAGGGCAGGTGGTGGAAAGTGCCATCAGGTCACAGCCAACTTATGGTGACCTGGTAAGGGTTTTCAAAGCAAGAGACGTTCAGAGGTGGGTTTGCCATTGCCTGCCTCTGCATGGCGACCCTGCACTTCCTTGCTGGCATATGCAAATAAGTCATGCTAATGAGTCGTGCTAATGAGCTCCCGCACCTCTTTTTCTACGGAATGACCCCTGGCTGTGACTCATACGTGCGTTTTAACTTTCAGGCAGATCGCTGTGCCAAAGGGCATCATCTGGAAGGAAAAGATGGCTTAACGTTCGCCGAGACGCTGGCTACAGCGTCACTCAACGATGGAAACGCTGAAAGATGTGATGCTGGGTAGTTTACGAGAAGCAAACCTCAAGGTGAGAACTGATTCGTTGCCTTGTGTTCACTCTGCTGTGGCCGGCACACATCAAAAAAGAGAGCTGCGCAGATGTCACCACGTTGGTAACGGCGAAACTAGGACGGTGTACACCATAAAGGGGAAGAAACCCTTTTGCCCTTTGTCAGATATTAATACAACTAGTGGCCAGCCCTGGAACCGGGCCCGTAGCTAGCTAACATGGGGCCCACGGCCGCCCCCCCCCCAGCGTTTCTTCTGGGCACCTCCCTCCTGGGCTGCCCCAAAGTACCTCAAGTTGCTGCCTTCGACCTGGCTGCCAGGCAATTGAGCGCCTT